GTCCCATCCACCAAGCCGGAAAGTTTGAGGACCCCTGGTATAGGGTCTCCTGCTTGAGCAGAGGGCTGGACTAGAAGACCTCAAAGTTCCCTTCCAACTCTATTCTATTCTATTCTATTCTATTCTATTCTATTCTATTCTATTCTATTCTATTCTATTCTATTCTATTCTATTCTATTCTATTCTATTCCATTCCATTCCATTCCATATTTTCTATTCTATTCTATTCTATTCTATTCTATTCTATTCCATTCCATTCCATTCCATTCCATTCCATATTTTCTATTCTATTCTATTCTATTCTATTCTATTCTATTCTATTCTATTCTATTCTATTCTATTCTATTCTATTCTATTCTATTATTTCTATTCTAAAAGGTCAGATTGTCAGGTTCACAGTGTCATCTCTGAAAAGCTGGACCGTCATTGAAGGTGTAAATAACTATGTTTCCAGGGCCCGGATTTTTTTTTTCGAGCCAGCATTTACGAATCGGCTTTGTTTTAATGCCACTTTGTGTTATTTTATTATCATTTTGTTTTTGGAAGAAACTTTTGGGGTTTCTATAAAGAAGGGGGGGAAGCCCCATAGATATGCGAAACATACTTCTCTTCTCTCGAGATTTCAGGTCTCTTTCTTCAATTCTCTCCATTTAAACCTCAGAATAAGAAACGATTTATCACGACTGTAGTACCTAAACAAGTTAAATGCGCACGCACGCACAAACACACATATATATTCAGCAACTACGTGACGCTAAATACGCCATTCCTGATGCCAGAGTTGACAAGATTTCGTTCAACTGCACTGAGATAACTGAGAAATTGTCCTTTTCTCAGTCATGTTTAAATTCATGGAAAATTCGATCTCGCATACATTAGGCAATGTATAGAAATGAGGTGGGAGAGAATTCCCAGGTGAAAGTTTGCTATGTATGTTTGCTAGTAGCAGGTGCAGTTTTAGATCGGGGTGGACAACTGCAAGTAGTCCTCGACTTACGGCTACGGCTGAATTCAAAATGTCTGTTGCTAAGCGAGACAGTTATGAAGTGAGTTTGGCCCTATTTTATGACCTTTCTTGCCACAGTTGTTAAGTTAGACGCTGCAACTGTCGTAAGTATCCAAAATAGTCCTAAGTCACTTCATTCGGTCCAGTTGTAATTTCGAACGGTCACTAAACATGCTTGTAAGTCGAGGACTACCTGCATGGCTCCTTTACGATCGTAAGCCCGTTAATAGAATAGAATAGAATAGAATAGAATAGAATAGAATAGAATGGAATGGAATGGAATGGAATGGAATGGAATGGAATGGAGTGGGGTGGAGTGGAATGGAATGGAATATGGAATGGAATGGAATGGAATGGAGTTGGAAGGGACCTTGGAGGTCTTCTAGTCCAACCCCCTGCTTAGGCAGGAAACCCTACACCACTTCAGACAAATGGTTATCCAACATCTTCTTAAAAACATCCTGTGCTAGAGAATTCACAACTTCTGGAGGCAAGTTGTTCCACTGATTAATTGTTCTCACTGTCAGGAAATTTCTCCTTAGTTCCAGGTTGCTTCTCTCCTTGATTAGTTTCCACCCATTGCTTCTTGTCCTGCCTTCAGGTGCTTTGGAGGATAGCTTGACTCCCTTTTCTTTGGGGCAGCCCCTGAGATATTGGAAGGCTGCTATCATGTCTCCCGTGGTACTTTTCATTAAACTAGACATACCCAGTTCCTGCAACCTTTCTTCCTATGCTTTAGCCTCCAGTCCCTTAATCCTCTTTGTTGCTCTTCTCTGCACTCTTTCTAGAGTCTCCACATCTTTTTTTACATCGTGGAGACTGAAACTGAATGCAATATTCCTGTTAAAGGCCACAGGTTGTAAAGGGGCCATGGTTTTTCCCCCTCCCCATTTTAGAGTGATGCCGTGTCTCAAGATCACTGACCAAACTACTCCATACTCTTGCAGGCTTTATACTAATAAGCCAGACTTCGATAAGGAGGCCCGTTAGATGGAAACAATTCCTCATTTTTCAGCCGTCGTTCTAGACTCAGGGGTCCCACATCGTTACAGATTCTTCTCTGCCATCAGGCCATAACCACATCACTCCCCATCAACTTCAATGTCTGGCAAGACAATAGAGAGTCACATTTCACCACCATCACCACTGGCCCGGCATCGTGAAAAATGTCGTGTCCTCTTCAGCTGTACGCAAGCTGGCTTCCGTTCATTCCCAATTAGCACTTCCTCTACCGTAAATCAATCCCACACGAGTGTCAGTTAAGACACAGCCAAGAACCTTGGAATCCAAGCATATTCAACAAGGAAGGCCAGAGGGGAAATGCCAGGTCTCCTATATGAGCAAATGTAACTTTTGTCAAATTCTTCTAGGGCAGGAGTGTTAAACTCAAGGTCCGGGGGCCAGATCCAGTCCGTGGGGTGCTTAGATCTGGTCCGTGGGGCCAGCCATGAAACAGCAAAGGACCGGCCCGCGGTGCCTCTGCCAGCGAAAACGGAGCTCAGGAGGGCCACAGGCAGCCCTCCCGAGCTCCGTTTTGGCTGGCCGAGGGTTGAAGGAGGCTGTGGCAGCTGAAAAAGGAGCTCGGGAGCCCAGGGGTGGGTTCTAAATTTTTTACTACCGGTTCTGTGGGCGTGGCTTATTTTGTGGGTGTGGCTTGGAGGTCATGTGACTAGGTGGGCATGGCTAGCTGGTCAGAGTCATTTCTGGAAGGCCCTCGCACTCACGACCAGTCCTCGCACTTACGACCCGACTCATTTGTTTGCTTTTAACACCGATCAGCTGTAGGGCGGCCCTTTGAAGCTCCGCGGCAAGAGTTTAAACAGTTTTTTTCCCTCTAGTCATCAGCTGGGACTCAGGAGGCAGCAATAGATTGGGGGTGGGGCCAAATAAAAGGTAAGAATAACGTGGGGGGGTGGGGGGGGAGAATCGGTTCGGTGACATATCACCGCTACCGGCTCAGCCGAACCGGACCGAACTGGGAGGAACCCACCACTGCGGGAGCCTGCTTTCACTGGCAGAGAGCTTGGGTCTCCATAGGCACCCCCCCAACACGAGTGATGTCGGGCTGGCCACGCCCACCCTGGCCACACCCACCCCCGCCCCTCCCGAGGTCAAACACAACCCTGATGCAGCCCTCAATGAAATCGAGTTTGACACCCCTGCTCTAGGGCAGGGGTCAGCAACCTGCGGCTCTGGAGCCGCATGTGGCTCTTTCATTCCTCTGCTGTGGCTCCTTGTCGCCAATTGATTCCACAATTGATAGGGCTTTCGGTTTAGGACAGGTAGAGGAAACAGGATGCCATGCTAGGAGGAGACTCTATGGTAGGGGAACCGGACTTCTGGTCGGCTCCAGAATTGAATGGGAGGCTTGCATTAGGACCTTTGTGGCTCTTTAAGGTTGCCGACCCCCTGCTCTATGGGAATGACAGCAGGAGTGTGCACAACAAAAGAATCACAACAACAAAGCTTCCATTGAGAGGAAGGACTGTTCCAGGATGACTGGATTTGATGAAGCCCTCTATGCTCGTTCCAGCCTTCAGGGCAGTTGTTTTCAAATGACATTGGGGTTCTTCAGGAAGAGGACCAGCTGTCTGGCTGACCACCGATCCACCAGTAAAGGCCACGTGGCCTGCAGATTGTTTCCCAAGAATTGGCCCACGTGGCACATTTCATCACCTTTGAAACTCTTAAATCTTTCGAGGTACCAGAATCTTTCGAGCTTCCAGAGTCAACAAATCAGTGAAAAAGAGATTCCCCAAAGAGAAGTAATTCAAGCCAATCAAGTTTGGGACCAAAATGGAAGTAATCCTCGACTTACAACCACAACTGAGCCCCAAACTTCCACTGCTAAGCGAGACAGCTGTTAAGTGAGTTTTGCCCCATTTTACGACCTTTCTGGCCACAGTTGCCAAGTGAATCACTGCAGTTGTTCAATTAGGAATAACGGTTGTTAAGTGAATCTGGCTTCCCCCATTGACTTTGTTTGTCAGAAGATCATAAAAGGCCCTGGGACCCGGCAACCGTCATAAACACATGCCAGATGCCAAGTGCCTGAATTTCGATCACGTGAACATGGGGATGCTGCAAACGGTTGAAAATGTAAAAACGGTCATAGGTCACTTTTCTTTGGTGCCGTTGTAAATTCAAATGGTCACTAAATAAACTGTTGTTAATCGAGGATTACTTGTACTAGCTTCTAGAGAAGACAAATTATTGAAAAAGAGATGGAATGGGGTAACTCGTCTGTTAGGGTTCCAAGTAACAGCCCAAATGAAAGAAGACTCCGAGGCTAGGCATTCCTCAAAGTTCCCTTTTATTAGAGATGTCATATTGGCACATCTGGGAAAACCCGAATCTGAAAGCTTCCAGGTTTTCCCCACCCAAAAGAAAGTCCAGGTCCCTTCCTCCTGCACCCACATGTCCATCACATGGTCCAATCAATGCACCGTCCCAACTGGAGATGCCTCCCAGCCACACCCCTCCAGGTGCAGGGCAGAGTGACCTTAACTCTCTGAGAAAGGAATGTTATTATGACTATATATTACCCATGCTCCATACAATCCCCCCTCCCAATTTCCCACCGTAGTAAATGTGGCAGGCCTGAAGGACCAATGCAAAAGATGGCTCCCAGGCCTGGCATCGTCACGGCCAACTCACCACAGCCATCTTGCTGCAGCCAATTCGCCATGGCCATCTCGATCCGGCCAACTCACCCCGGCCATCTCATTGCGGCCAATCTGGTGAGGATATCTCGCTGCAGGACAATACCACGTGGGATAACTCAAAGGCGCTAAATGGTATCCACCACTGTTTCTTTAACAGTATTTCCACTGAAAATAGTTGGCCGTGGCAATTTGGTCATGGCGAGTTGTCTTAGACTTAAAAAAGAGATTTCCCCGAACAAAAAAAACTTCAAGTTTGGGATTAATGTAAATCTCAAGGATTGGGGTTTTTTAGTTTTTTTTAGTTTTGCTCCTCTGACCAATGTTCTTACCTGTCCTTCTCCAACCATCTCAGTATCAATAACTGTGACAATTCCAGGAACCAAGGGGCTGCGTCGGCTATTGGTGTGTGCCAAGATTTCTTCTTCCGCCACTCCTGATGGCGAAGTGCCCGTCAGCTGCGTTACCACTTTTCCAACCATGGTGAGCCCAGTTTTGATGGTCTGTTAAAGAAGCAGACAGACAAAACAATGAATAAATGGCAGATAACACAAAACTCATTTTAACCATTGTACTTACTTTGACTTACGCAAGTCCTTCATCAAATGCCCACTACAGCAAAAAGTGAAAACCTTTCACGTTTCTAAATGGACTGGTTTCAGATATAAGTAAAAATGTGGAGCGAGAAAAATAGAATATACTAAACGGCATTTGGATTGTCAGCCAGCATCAAGTACTTTATCCATATGTGTGTGTGTGTGTGTAGAGAAAGAGGGAGGGAGAGTTGGGTAAATGATAGGATATGGATGGATGGATGGAAGGAGGGAGGGAGGGAGGATGGGGAAGGGAGAGAGGGATGGAGGGAGGGATAGACAGACAGACAGATATGGATGAGTGGGTGGATAGATAGATAGATAGATAGATAGATAGATAGATAGATAGATAGATAGATAGATGGATGATAGATAGATAGATAGATAGATAGATGATGATGATGACAGACAGACAGACAGATGATGGGTGGATAGATAGATAGATAATAGATAGATAGATAGATAGATAGATAGATAGATAGATAGATAGATATGGATGGATGGACGGACGGACCCCACTCCCTTCTAGCCCTGATGATGCTACCTAGTTCGGGTCATGAAGCGTCTTCCAGGAGACAACCCAGCTTAGAGAGCACCAAGGACCCCTCCTCGCCGTTCACATTTTCATGCTGTCATTTATTTGCTACAAGAGGGACAGGAGATTTGATGCCATCCAGAGGTTTTGGACTACCGCTGCTCTTAGCTCCTACCAGGGTTGGCCAAGGCAAGAGATTGCAGGAGCTCTTGAAACATCTGGAGGGAACCCACTGTGCTGTTCCTTGCGCTAAACTGACATCGTTAGATTCACCTCCATTTCTACATTCCACAAAATATAAAATGTCTTGATTCGGAGGAAATCGGACGCACCTCGTCTCCCACATTCATCAATTCAAGCACCTAGAATCCAAGTACCGATGCACCAGCCTACAGATGGCAATTAATTTTCAGACTGTTTCTGCTGATCTCCCTTGCGGCTTTCAGTGTCAATACCGCAGAATAAACCAATAAGATACAGGCAGGGAGGAAAGAATCAATCCGTTTCCTGCTGTTGCGTTCCATCTCCTTTCCTCATTAATCTTAATTTTTTTTTAAAAAAAATTAACATCTTCGCAAAAATCCACAAAAATCCTCTTATTTCCTCTCAAGATATTGACATCTACCTGCGATTTAATATTTTCTGAGCTATGGATTACGTTGGAAGATAGAGGTAATTCCAGTTTGGTCTAGTGGTTAAGGAACCAGACTAGAAATCGGGAGGCCCTGAGTTCAAGTTCCGCCTTAGACACGAAAGCCAGCTGAGTGATTTGGACTGATCACAGGAGATGGTGAGTTCTAGTTCTACCTTAGGCATGAAAGCCAGCTGGGTGACTTGGGCTGATCACCAGGAGACGGTGAGTTCTAGTTCGACCTTAGGCATGAAAGCCAGCTGGGTGACTTGGGCCGATCACCAGGAGACAGTGAGTTCTAGTCCTGCCTTAGGCATGAAAGCCAGCTAGGTGACTTGGGCCGATCACCAGGAGACAGTGAGTTCAAGTTCTGCCTTAGTCACGAAAGCCAGCTGAGTGACTTGGACCGATCACCAGGAGATGGTGAGTTCTAGTTCTACCTTAGGCATGAAAGCCAGCTGGGTGACTTGGGCCGATCACCAGGAGACGGTGAGTTCTAGTCCTGCTTTAGGCATGAAAGCCAGCTGGATGACTTGGGCCGATCACCAGGAGACGGTGAATTCTAGTTCTACCTTAGGCATGAAAGCCAGCTGGGTGACTCGGGCCGATCACCAGGAGATGGTGAGTTCTAGTCCTGCCTTAGGCATGAAAGCCAGCTGGGTGACTCAGGGCCGATCACCAAGAAATGGTGAGTTCTAGTTCCTCCAACTGATTCTGGCACATGATAAAAAGAGACAGTTTGGTCTAGTGGTTAAGGTACCAATCTAGAAAGCAAAATACTGGGAGTTCTCGTCCTGCCTCAGCCATGAAAGCCGGCTGAGTGACTTTGGGCCGATCACGTTCTCTCAGCCCACCCCACCCCACAGATTGTTCTTGGAGGGGAAATAGGAAGAGGAAAGAGTATTAAGTATATTGAGTTTATGATGATTGAAGACCTGGGGACTAAAACCTATGAAGAACGGTTGCAGGATTTGGGTTTGGCTAGTCTAAAGAAAGAGCAACAAAAATGATTAGGGGACTGGAGGCTAAAACATATTTTTTTTTTAAAAAAAAAACAAGTTGCAGGAATTGGGGATGTCTAGTTTAATGAAAAGAAGGACCGGGGGTGACATGATAGCAGTCTTCCAGTATTTGAGAGGTTGCCACAAAGAAGAGCCGCGGAGATTCACTTAGCAAACGCGGCAAGAAAAAGTCGTAAAATGGGGCAAAACTCACTTAGCCAACCTCTCGCTTAGCAACATCAATTTTGGGGCCTCCACTGCGGTCGAAAGTCGAGGACTACCTGCATAGTAGCAGCATCCCACAAAGCTCCATGTTCAGACTGGAAGGTTGGTGGGGCGGGGAAGGGGCAGGCAGGGGAAACCAGATCCTGGGGCTGCAGCCGAATCCACAAATCGATGGCAACCGCCAGTTGTTTAGTGCTAAAACCTCAAACTGCAGTGATTAGAAAACACATTACTGTTCATCAATTAGCAGCCGAGCATTTGCCTTCAATTATTCATGGGGAAACGACTGACGCACAGGGCTCAGGCTGGTGTGTTGTCAGGAAAACCTCGGCCGAGCCAACAGAACCAGGCGCCATTCGGTATTGACGGCACCGATCCAGCCAGGAAGCCTGATTAACCTCCGAGATGCCTCGCTTGCTGTACTTACCCCATTAATGCTAATGGAGATGCTACCACTTAAAAAAGAGAGAGGGGGGGGGGGAAAACATCGTCGGAGCCAGCCAAACCTTTATCAAAGGAGAGGTCGCTGGGTTTTTAACATCTCTTAGCAATAGACACATCCTGTCCTTTGGGTTTTGTCCTTCCCACTCCACCCCCCCCCCCCCCCCCCCCTTTTAAACTCTCCCCAGAAGTGGAAGAAATTGAATCCTTAAACAACTGGCACACTGTCAGCTTCTCAGGAAAAGACACGCAACACACCACATCCGACAAGCGCACTTCGTGTTCTCAGCCTCGATGGGCCAGATCATTTGGGGGTGGGGGGGAAGGAAGCCTCTCTCTCTCTCCTGCTTTCTGTGCTCTTGAATTTGGACCAGGCTGGAGTTGTGAGCAGCATAAATCTGGACAAAGAAAATGAGGGGACTGGAGGCTAAAGCAAATGAAGAACGGTTGCTAGAATTGGGTATGTCTAGTTTAATGAAGAGAAGGACTAGGGGAGACGTGATAGCAGTCTTCCAATATCTCAGGGGCTGCCCCAAAGAAGAAGGAGTCAAGCTATTCTCCAAAGCAGCTGAAGGCAGGAGAAGAAGCCAATGGATGGGAACTCATCAAGGAGAGAAGCAACTTAGAAGTAAGGAGAAATTTCCTGATAGTTAGAAGTCTACGGAGATTCTCCTTCATCCAGCTCATGGTTGTCCCAAAGGTGCTTTTTTCAAGAGGCAACTGGACTTTTTGGTTTTTCTTTGGAGACGTTTTGCTTCCCATCCAAGAAGCTTCTTCAGCTCTGACCGGATGGTGAGGAATGGAAGGATTGATACTCCTTGCAGGCAGATGGTTATTTGCATCCTTCTTAGAGAGTCGTTAAGGCCACCTGGAGGTTAATATGATCAGGTGACCCTGAGGACACAGATAAACCTCCAAGTGGCCTCAATGACTCTCTAAAAAGAATGCAAATGACCAGCTGTCTACAAGGTGTATAAATCCTTCCATTTCCTCACTATTCAGTCAGAGCTGAAGAAGCTTATTTATTTATTTATTTATTTATTTATTTATTTATTACATGTATTTATATGCCGCCATTCTCCCGAAGGACTCAGGGCGGCGAACACAAGTTAAGAAACAAGTACAATAAAATCATAATTTAATCCAAAGAATTAATTAGTAGTAAATAATAAAGCCCGGAATCAGTCTCAGCCTATTTGTTTGAACAGCCAAGTTTTCAGGTCCCGACGGAAGGAGCGGAGATCAGGAGCCATCCGGAGCTCGGTAGGTAATTCATTCCAGAGGGTGGGAGCACCCACAGAGAACGCCCTACCCCTGGGCACAGCAAGACGACATTGGCTCGCCGTCGGAACCCTGAGGAGAGCGGCCCTATGTGAGCGAACAGGACGGTGAGAGGCAGGCAGGCAGAAGGTCATGCAAATATCCCGGACCTAAGTCATGTAGGGCCTTATAGGTGAGGACTAGCACCTTGAAGCGGACCCGGAGAACCACTGGCAACCAGTGCAGCTCACGCAGGAGGGGTGTTATATGGGAGTAACGAGGGGCTCCCATAACAACCCGTGCAGCTGCATTCTGGATCAGCTGGAGTCTCCGGGTGCATCTCAGGGGCAGGCCCATGTAGAGGGAATTGCAGTAATCCAAGCGGGAAGTAACCAGGGCATGAGTGACTGTGCGAAGGTCATCTCGGTCCAGGAAAGGGCGCAACTGGCACACCGGGCGAACCTGTGCGAAGGCCCCCCTGGTCACGGCCATTAGATGGTCTTCTAGGGATAGCCGAGCATCCAGAAGGACACCCAAGTTGCGAGCCCTATCAACAGGTGTCTTGGATGAGAAGCAAAACGTCTTCACAGAAAAACCAAAAAGTCCAGTTGCCTCTTGAAAAAAGCACATTTGGGACTGACAATTAGAACAATTAACCAGTTCTCCAAGAATTAACCAATTGCCTCCAGATGTTGTAGGTGCTCCAACACTGGAGGTTTATCAGTGGAATGTGTTGCTTTCAGAAGTTGTGGATGCTCTGATGCCTTTTAAGAAGAGATTGGGCAACCGTATGTCTGAAATGGGCCTCCTGCTTGAG